AGGATACTAAAAAATGAATTTACACTTCGCGAACAAAAAAAAAGGTTGTTTAATGAAGTTACAGTGATTGAAAAGCTACTAAACATATTGAGATGTAATAAAAATCATCTAAAGCAGACAGAAGGTTCTATGGACGAATGAATTCATCAGTTTCGGACGCAGGCACTCTTAGTTTGTGAGAGGTATTTATATAATTTAATAACTCTGCTAAACAACAGTTTGTATGCAAAACAATCATTCGTTGTCCTTCGTTAGTTTTGCCCACCACTACCCTTTCCATTCACAATCAATGCAAGCAGATGTGAAATAATAAAAACAAAAAGGCACATTGACAGCGTGATAAAATCGCGCACGGAATTTTGTTCAATGCACAAAAAATCAATTTGCTGAAAAGGTATCATTTGCTCAACAGGCCAGTTTGAATTTTGTTCTATTTATGGGATATTTGTGAAGACGACGAATAAAGAACTCCTCAATAAGTGGATAGCGCAGATCTGCGTCTGAGAGTAGAGAAATGCGGCTTATTTTCATGTGATAAGAGCTGAGTATGTGGAAATAGGTATAAATGGCGACAGATGAATATTCCACTAAAAGAACTCTTAAATCGAGAATTGTGAAGAGAACAAAAATCCCATTTCGTAATGATTTGCTCATTGATTCATGAATGGATTGCAATCGATAATCAAGGCCAGAAAACTTCATTCAGAAATCGGACTCGACAAAGTTCAATCCAATTAGAAAACTCTGTTTGTTATCTAGAACAGGATATCGGCTTTTGCAACGATGCAAAAATTGACAAATGAAGCATGAAAAGCATTGCTAAACCTAGATCCGGCCAACCTTTCTTCTAAAAAAACATGCGTATAAATACTTGAGTTCTAGATTCGACGGAAAGCATCCATGTCACACCATAAATTATGCGTTTAAGCCAAGAGCCATGCGAGATTCACCATTTGTCGTAACCACTCCCCAGCATCAAACTGCATTTCTCATATATCATTTTCCATCACTTATTGTGCAGATAACACAGTTAAAGTGTAAAGGATGGTGCTGCAGTTCAGAAAATATCGGAATTGACCTAGAAACAAAAGCAAGGCGC